AGTGGCTTGTGCATATTCCAGTTGTTCTAGAGCTTTAGTCCTCGAAGTAAGTATGTCAGATGTCTAAAGTAATTGTCCTAATACCGGGCTTGTGCATTATTGGTTCAATTTGCTATTCAAAGTCCATAACACGTGCTCACGGCCGAGGCGACACCGAGTAAGACCTTCAAATATGCCCCGCAGTGTTGGCTTGTTGCGTTGGGGGCAAAGGTACACTGATGATGGCTTTTCTTCCAGAATTTCATCCCGCGCGGGTCAATATTCACCTTCTTCAAACATTTTTTGGTGATCAAATATCAATGAAATCACTCCCTGAAGAAATTACGCCGGTCGAGCCAGTCCTCGCTGAGAATGCCCGAAAACATTGGAGTGCATATTCTGGGAATATATGTATCCCTGGAAATAGTTGTGTTGTTGAAAATCCGGCCATGGCTCCGAGCTATGTGATAACGAAGTGTCCAAAAATGGGAACTCCATGCCGAGGAAAACTCGGAGAAATTCCCGCCCGTCAAGGCAGCACCTGCTGAGAACACTCACGAATATTTTATGGGAGTAGAGGTATCTCTGGAATTTTTGTACGGTGTTACATCGGGTGGTGGCTCTCTAAGACATCGGAGGCCAATGTGGTGTCCGAAAACGGGAAGTACATGCGGGAAGAAAATGAACAGTGCAACATGAAGTCAGTGGATAGTGTCCCCCCAGTCCTCCTCACATGTTCAGTACCCATTTTCATTTAAATTTGCATAACTCCCAAGGTGAATATCGTGTGATGATGTCTTAGAGAGTATGGTCGTTGAATCCCGATGTTTGCCTCTCTCACAGTTTGTGCATGGAAGCAAGGGATAGCATCAATTTGGATACTTGCAGGATACTCCTGTGGTGCTGACGTGTCCCCTTCCTCCATATTTGGGGCTGGCTTGCCTCTGGCATGGGCATGAGCGGAATGGCTTGTGTCACGTGCCACAAGCCAGTTTGCTCGCCAAACTGGCTTGTGATGGCTTGCGGTAATGATGATGTCAAAGAAATCTGGATGTAGACTCGATCTACGGGGAAGGTATGTTGCCTGTGATCTACATTGATATACAATGCATGGAATGGACCCGACACACTGATCAGCCTCTCTCGGAACCGCCCACAACTCACTGTGCACGCACTGGCTTGGGCTTGGGCTGGCTTGGGCAAACTGGCTTGAGCAAGTAAAACTGGCTTGAACTCCCGCAAAGTGGCCTGGGTTTGATAAGTATTCGGTAGTAGTTTGTGGTGATGAAGTGGGAATAATTGTGGAAATTACGAAGAGTTCAACCGTGGGAATTACGCATCTATACCAAATACATCAGATGTTCCCATCGCTTTGTCCTCAACTCGGAAGGCAGAGATTTCGGAAATCAGAGAAGTCAACTAAGAGGGACAAAACACCTGTATCCACCTGACATGGGGCATAAACAGAGGTGCACACTGATATGGCGGCACTTGTACTGTGCACGCTGATACCTCCGGCACTTCTACGTGTTGACGTGCACACGCCGCGTCAACGAAGTCAATGCTGGTCTTGTGAGTCGAGTAAAACACCCTATTTGAGTCCAGTTGACCCCAGTGTTAAACCTTAGGTGAACCCAGTTTCAACATCAAAAGACAAATGCCGTGATGCTGAACGGCGAGCGGAGAGAAAAAGTTGTAGTGGATGCCCGAGTAGATGCCCGAAATCATCTCCTGCACCACAACTTTCTTGTGGCTCAACACGAACCCAAAGAACCCCGCGGCGGTGGCAAGGCCGCGCTACAGGCCATGTATGGAGCCGTAAATGACGGTGCGCTGTCGGGAGCAAACCACAGCCAAAAAATGTCGCAGTTCTTTGACAGGCACACGGTCTTCGACAGCCATTGGCGGCCTCTCCTATACCGTCGAGTCCGAAACTTCCAATTTGCATCTACCGAGGCTATCCTTGTTACGGTTTCGACGGTTTCGAAGCGCAAAGCCAAAGAGCAGCTGGAAAGTTCAAAAGGGCCGAAGCGGGCCAAGTTGAAGGAGCCAAAGAAGGCGAAGGCGCAGCAGGAGACGAAGAACTCCAGTGCAGGCGCAATAATGGCGGCGCCGGGGAATAATCGGCGCATGTTGCCCTCGCGAAAGTGCGCGTCGCGAGCTTAGGCAGTTCAACTTAGGTTCAAATGCACCCAGTGATTTTTGGAGTGTAGATATTGAATGGTTCAAAAAACTCTTGTAGCTCAATAGTGACGAGAACTATCATTCCTTCCTCCGTCTGTTCGAATAAACATTCAACAGAGGTCACTGGTAACGGCGAAATTCCGTGTGTTTAATTAACCTTCTTCGCCTCCTGGGAGACGAGAGAGGGACGAGAGAGAATAGCAAGAGGGCCGGGAGGTTTGGGACAAATGAAGTTCTCGGGTCTGCCCGGAATGGGTCAGACTCAAGCCTAACTACGAGGGACAGGTGAGCTATGGAGTGAGTAGCAGGTATGTAGAGTGTAATGTAAGCCATGAAGTGGATGAAGTGAAATAGGGACGGAGGGTGGGGAATTAAATCGTACACGATGGATATCTAAAGATATGCAAGAACTGCGAGGGCAGTGTGAGACGCGGGAACTACGAGAGATAAGGAAAATACTACGCACCTGCGAGGGCAGTGTGAGACGCGGGCGCCTCATCACGAAGCCCCGCAGGTGTTATATATACTGGAAAGAACAAGGAGCCGCGTCGCGACGCGCGAGACAAAGACCGGCATGCGGGCCGATGCCGAGAGTCCAAGCGCTCGTTTGTTAACCCCGGGTAATCCCACACACACACACCAATTACCCATCTATTTCTAGTCTTTTCGCCGGCAATGGTAAGATAAATATATTTTAGAGGGAGTGGGGTGGACAGGGGGTGTTCTAGAGCCCCAGGGAGCCGCTGCGGAGGAAATACTAAAAAGCCTACCTTAGCGGTATAAGCGAGCCCAAGCCCATCAAAGCCCAAGCCCAAGCCCGCCAAGCCAGTACAGCCAAATTTAAACTCCGCTAAGCGGGGCAAGCCAATTTGGCAAGCCAGTCCGAAAAGTCTCTGTGTACCTGTCGGTTCTTACCCTGCGAGCATCAGTAAGGAAGCCCACTCCGCCGCAGGCCACCGCAACCCTCTGTGACGCGTCCTCCTCCACATCTCCCCTCAGGATCACGCACGTCGTGCCAGCCTCACAGACACGACTCGCCCTCCATCCGCACGCACGCGCGCCACTGGATGAGTAGCATCAGCGTCGGCTCCAGGCACAATCGCAGCGGTACACACCCAGAGCGAAGACGTCGTTGCGTGCGGCCCTGCTTTTATTGCGGCGGCCGACCACGCCCTTCTGTACATTTCGCGCTGGACGAGGATGTGGGGCTCGAGAATCCATTGATGAGCAATCCTGGCGGGATGTTCGCGCCGTGGGCGAAGAACGGCTAGCAATAGCCGCTCCTGGGAAGGGAATCAGCAATATCGAAGGATTAAAGAATAGCAATTCGTACTAAGACCCTCAAACTGAGGTACAGGTCATTCCAGACGGCCGAGAACTTTGAGGTTCCGCGGCTGCCAGGTGTGCTGTATTCCAGCATAAGGATGAGCGATGGCTATGGTGTCAGGGAAAGTGTGAGACGGAAATTTGAGCGTGAATTACTAAAAACATTCACTGCGGCGCCATATGTAGACGCAAATGTCGAGAGCGCGAGGAAGCGCAGTTTCGGACGATGCATGCGTTATGACAATTTAAAACTGCGGTCGGCTAGGGCTAGGAGAGATACGAGGACGGAGGGGAAGTGCGAAATGCGGTATACACACCCAGCGGTAGGTCTGTAAAAAAACTCACCCCGCGGGAAGAGGCCATTTAGTCGAGTAGCGAGCGGAACGTGCGGGTTAGGAGAGAATTAAGAGAGAAGAATAACTTGCGCTGGCTGGCGGGTTCTGCGCTCCAAAAGCTTTCACCATCGGTCGCAAGTCGGCCGTGGAAGGCGGAGGACCGACAGTGGCTAACTAACCCTAGCGGTGCCTCGGATCAAACGGTCCGTTTTCCTTCTCCCACCACCACCATCTCGCCCCGGCGGTCGCGCGAACTCCTCTGCACAGAATCCGAGAACCCCCAATGGCAATATCCTTCCAGTCCCACTCTCCGCCTTCGCGCCTGCGCTCCATTTTGACGTCTAACTGCCGAAATCTTCGCCAGGCGTCGCGTCGTTAATCTGTACCAGCATCTGCGTGTTTTCTCTCCTGGAGCTCTTTTTTCCGTCCCTCGAGCTGGGCACTTTTGCTATCTGTGTCACCGTTGCGTTGCGCTTTGCATATCAAGAAAATGGTGGAGCTTGAGAATTGGATTCGCCGTGAGAATCTGACTGTTTTCGCCCCATGGGCCATAACCGTGGCCGCCGTGCGCTGAGCCGGTATACTTTTTGCACCCAACTTGCGACGAGATCACTACCCCGAGTACCACGGATCCTTTTCCCAATTCCCCGGCGCGCGCTCGTGGCATTCAGGCGACTGCGTGAAGTTAAAGTGAGAGGCGGCAAATTGCATACGCAGCGACACCCACGCCGGATCGTCAATACGAAGGCAGAAAAAAGGTTACCCAAAGCATCCCCAAGACTCCGGCCGGAATCGAACCGGCATATTCCGCGTGAACATCTCTATACACATCTAGGTGGAGCGGACGCATACCACACCAAGTAAAAAAAGATCTTCTCAGTCCAAGACCCCGCCCGGAATCGAACCGGTTCCTTCCGCGTAGACTTGGTCCGCACTTTCTTCTATAGGTCAAGCAGATGCATTCCAGATGCCACAGGGTCTTGTTCCCAAGAGGACGACTGCTTAAAGTTAAAATGAGAAGCGGAAAATCGCATGCGCAGTAACACGCACGTCGAATCGACCGGCTTTCAAGAAAAGAATTCATCCGCCAACGTTCGGGCCTGCCTGCGCTTGCGGGAAAGCCAGAGGTTCAATGGGGGGTATAAAGGCAAAAAAATGTTCATCTTGTCAACTTGAGGACCCCGGCCGGAATCGAACCGGTTCCTTCCGCTTGATACACCAACGAAGGTCGAGCGGATACATAATAGCACATGCCACGGGGTCTTGGGATCTTAGTTTCTGAGGGCCATTTAGCATTCATAAAGTCAGACCACTCGATCAACGATCCGCGTACCACGAGAGGAGTCAAACGAAGTGGCATTGCAATATTGAATACCGACTCTGACCCCACTCGTGGTTAGAACCTAACAGAAAAAGTAGACATTCGGCCGACTTGCAAGAAAATACTTCATCCGCCATCGTTCGGGCCTGCCAAAAGTGTTCAGTTCACAAACCTCCGTGATGCGTGACCCGAACACTTGGTCGCACTCCAGGGGCTGATGGCTGTTTGGGACTAAAAATTCGGCTCCAAACATGTTTTCTTTTTGGTTCACTGTTTGGGTCCAAGTCAAATACAAATCAGAAATAAGCCATGTTTGGGCGCCCAATTGACCAGCAAACATACACCATTTTTTGAACCCAGATGCTCACAGAAAATCTGATATGTTCCCCAAATCTTTTGCAACCAAAAATCAACCTGTTTGAGCTCGAAACAGCAGAAGAACAATGATTTGGCATATTTGTGCTCCAAACCAGAGAGTTTTTCCGGCCCAAACTGACACCAAACATCTTAAACGTTTCGGTCAGTTTAGATACTCGAACATTCTTTGAATTTGAGAGTGAAAGGTGATCCAAAAATCAACTATGTTCAGTTCATTTTTGAGCATACTCCAAAAGTTGGGCTGAACAGAACACATGTTTGGAAGCCATGTTTCGGGCCCAAAAATCCATCAACCCCAGGAGTGTCGAGATAGTACAGTAGCTACTGGTAATGATGACGCGGCAGCTAACGCCAACGTCACCTCCGTGCACTCCGCCCGCGCGGCCACCGCGCCGCATCGCGCTTTGGGGATTTGACCCTTTCGGAGCCTCGGGTGTACGAGGAAGGAAGGGGCACGAAGTTTCAACACGGGAATCTAACGGGCGAAACCTACTGGCGAAGTTGACTCGCGGTCCCCTAGGAGCCATAACGCAGGTCTGGAAAGTGAAGCCAGAATTTGACCAAATCCATGCTTAAGCGCTGGTCACTGAAATTTCCTGAACTCGTGAAATCTGTGCGCCGTTGACCCGTTGTCCAGCAACTGCGAAGGGTGTAGAATCTATGGACGGCAAATTGAGAATGATAGCGAACCCGGACTCTAGACTTGGCGACCGTTTGGGAGTTTAGCAAAACCGCACTCTTTTCCCAGCTAACTGTCATGCGCACCATTGGACAGGAGAGCATTGGGGGAGCATCAATAAGTAACTGTATTGAACGATTTGTATAAACGCAATGTGATCGACAACATGCAAGATCATATGAACAATTCAGCCAGCTAACTTGAATCTACTTCCTGGCCATTCTGCGATCATCTCTGTGTTTCCCACTTCATCCACAGCATATACCCTGATCCTTGTTCTGTCTGGAATACCGTACCCGCTATTGTACTCCAACAGATTAACTCGCTGGGAGCCGTTTGGATCTCGTTCGTATGTTGGCCGGATACCAAGATCATCATCTCCCTTCATGACGCGATAGCTGTACCGTTTGTCACTGGGCGGATTTGGAATCGTAAGGCTGTCGATGTAGCTATTTGGGTTGCCCCGCGTCCATCTTGGCGGCAATGAAAGGGTTACGGGCGAGACGAGCCCAAGAGCCGAGGCGCTCGAGGCGCTGAGCTTGCCGAAGCTAAGCTTCCATTTCGACGGCTTCTTGGTGACGGGCCCAGCATTCGTGCTCTTGCGGCGTGTCAAGGATCCAGTACGGGACCGGATAGCCAGCACGCGCGACACACTGCTAGCCTCCGGATCAAGGCCTCGCCAAGTGGTAGCAGGGCTTTGGGATGACGATGGGGGATGAGAGCCGGCCTTACCCTGGTTAGGGAACTCACGCTCCTCCCTCTGCTCTTCTACGTCCTGGTCTGAGCCTTGTCTGGCAGAGGGAGGGTGGGAGAATGGGATCGAGGGCGAGATTTGGTGACCCTGGGTCAAAGGAGTTGTGTAGCTAGGCATATCTTCGCCAAGCAGGTCAGGGAGTTCCTTGGCCCAGATACCGAATTCGGCAGCCGAAATGCGCTCCGAGTCGTCCTTCGGGTCATCGAGGACATTGAACACCTTGTTCGCGAGGAGCTCCGCCACGGGGTGCGTCATTCCGACAAAGCGTTGCATGAAAAAGTTGACCGGATGCTGTCGGAATAGATTGAACGAGTCGCACTCGCCCTCCTTTGTATCCGTCCACGGATTGCAGTGGTACAGCCTGTCACGGTGATTGATGAGCGTGGATGTAAAGTAGGCCACAGACAGAAAAAACGAACATATTAATAAGCACGATCCCCAGTGACCAAACATCCGCAGCGCAAGGCCGATAGGTCGGGGAGACGTTGTTGCGGCATTCTGTTGGGAGTCAATAAACACCAATGAAGGAACATGATGCAGGCGTTTATCTTACCATAGCTCATGTAGGGTGCAGACCCACAGTCCATATCAAACGACTCGACATCAGTGGTCGACAGGCCAAAGTCGGTGAGCTTGACGATGACCTTGCGCTCGCGACGGCCGTCAATCTCGGAGTAGCTATCCGTGACGAGAAAGTTTTCTGGTTTTATGTCGCGGTGAAAGACTTGCTGAACATGGCACGCCGCGATGGCATCACACATCTGGCAAAACATAGATGAAATGAGGCGAAGACGGGTGCGCGAAAGCAGTTGCGACGAGTTCATGGTGGAAAGAAGGCTGGGAGTCGGCGGCGGCGTGTGGGAGCCGGTTTCGAACAGGTCCGCCGGGCGGGGCGTGGGTGACGACTCGTCGTGATCACGGGCCTGTTCCAAGAAATAGAAAAGGTCCTCTCCCGGAACGTATTCCAAGACAAGAAGGAAAAAAGAAGAGGTTTCGAGGGCCCGGTGAAGCGTGACAATGTTCGGGTGCTTATGCAACGACTGGTGAATGGTGATCTAGAGTTGCGAGATCAGGGCTCGATATCAACACTGGAAATCATCGCAGGCACAAAACAACGTACCTCCTCCATTTGGCCCTTGAGCGCCTCGTCATCGAGGTCCGCCTTGGATAGACACTTTATGACATATTCGCGTCCATACATTGTGGACGGCGAACGGGAGTGCTTGCTGTCAATCTCGGAGCCCAGGTGGTCTTCGGAGGGGGGCGCGCGCTGCAGCACTTCCAAGACCTGATACACGAGCGCATAGCTACCGGCACCAAGCCGGCGGACGACCTCGAATTCGCGGGCGGGCTCCATGTTGTCCTTTGCCTCGATCGGCGAGACAAGATGGATGGTCTCGCCCTGCAGTTCGACACCCTCGCCCACAATGTCGCCCTGTTGCAGAACGTCCTCGAGCAGGAAGCTGAGGCGTGAGGCATGACCTGAATTATCTTCTTCAAATTCGCCCTGCAGTTCGAGAATTGGTGATTCGACTTGGAGCGGCGGGCCAATCTCACTCTCGAGCTGCGATCTGTTCCTTGACTCATCTGGGAACAATTCCGCGGGGTGGGTGCGGGATGTCTGTGGTTGAATCCTTGAGGGCGCTGACGGGGAGGACTCGTCGACGAAGGCCGTGACCTCTGTCCGTATCAACGGGGCTCCATCGGTATGTTCAGCTACGAGGGAGATTGCACCTGTGGCTTGGGCTCAAGAAGCGTGCGCGGATCCGGAGGTCGGAGGCTTACCATCATCTGTTTCTGCAATCATGAAATGTTCATCGATAAGCTGGAGAAAATGCGCTGTGCTTGTAATTTCCGAGTCCTACCGTTCGCACATTATGGCTTGTCAAATGATTTATTTGGACGATTCAAATACGCACCTCTTTTAAGATATCACACCAGTCGTCGTCATGGGTCACAACAACGGTTGCGTTTGGGACCTGTGTACCTCCGTGAGAAGAGAGTAGAACGAAGACCGCCTTAGTCACCTTCTGAAGAAGGTATTCGTGGATTAGTTTTGCAGGATTACAGGCCTAAGAAAGAGTCAGTGGTGGTCGATAATGCCGGGAACTTCGTTACTCTGGCACTCGGAGAAACATCAGACAGAATAACCTCGCCGTCTTGTTCCGTGGTGCGGTTTCCCCTATTTCCGCCACTGCCCCAAAGCCAGGTCAACGAGAACAGCGAGGCGTAGGAACTGCCCACGGCAGAACCCCCGGCGGCATTCAGTCGGGATTGAAAGTCCACGATAGATGAGGTTTCCACGGGCACAGTTCCGACCAATCTACTCCAAAGGTCCGTCCCAAGAGAGATCGACAACCCATGTATGAAGACGGTGTGGTTTAGAGGATCATCCATCACACTCGGGCGATTGTAGGCCTTCTTCCGGGAAGGATTTCTCTGGCCTGGGGGGCCGCTCCAGCGGTATTCGTTGTTATCAGGCCGGGTAGTGAGTTTGAATGCAAGCTCGAATTCTTCGGGGGTCGCGTAGTATGATGCCATCCCCCAGGAACTAGCTTTTTCATACCCAGTAACAAGATAAAGCTCTCCGTTTGCAAGCCCCCGGCCTCTCGGGCCATTAATATAGTTGTACCAGCTTGCGGCGTGTTGGGTCGCAAATGTCCGCATACTGTTCACGTTCCGCAGTTTTCTGAGGTGGGACCCATGAGGGAGGGCAAGGATGGCCCCTTGCGGACCGCCGCAATGGAAAACAAAAGCACCTCCAGGAAACACGCTGCAGGCAAACCAACTAGTGAGCGCTCTCTCAGATGGAGGGCCGCAGATAAAACTTACTCAGATGGACCATCGAGATCTATCCTTCGAATACTAGAGGTTGAAACATGGTTCCCCGGGTCAAAATAGAGGTCGGAGACGTCGACTGAGTCATAGAGTGGCATCGGAGAAAAGCCTTCAGGGGTGCGATTTCCATTGATAGGATGCTCTGGGGGCAGAAAGATGTTGAAGAAAAAATCGAACATCCCTTCCGGTGTGACGTTGCCTACGTCGCCGATCGAAACACCGTGCCTTCGGTATGCGGCAGGGAAATTTATTTGCGGCGCTGGTTGATAGAGTGGAAGTCCGCGTTTTTGACG